GAAGAAGAGGAGGAGGAGGAGGAAGAAGAAGAAGAAGAGGAGGAGGAAGAAGAAGAAGAAGAAGAAGAAGAAGAAGAAGAGGAGGAGGAGGAGGAGGAGGAGGAAGAGGAAGAAGAGGAGGAAGAAGAGGAGGAGGAGGAAGAAGAGGAAGAAGAGGAGGAGGAAGAAGAAGAGGAAGAAGAGGAGGAGGAGGAAGAGGGGGAGGAGGAGGAAGAGGAGGAAGAAGCAGCAGCAGCAGCAGCAATGGGCATTTCTTGCTGCTAATTTCTTTTTTTCCTTGTGAGCATGGTCTCTGGGTGGGGAACGTGCTTTCTGGAACCCAAAGAGAACACGACACTCCTGTGTTCCTGCTGTTCACAGTTAACTGCTGGAGTGTGTGTGTGTGCGTGTGCGTGCGTGTGCGTGTGTGCGTGTGTGTGTGTGTGTCTTAAAGGACGCCAAGGAGGTGAGCTGTGCCCTGATAAAGTTACGGGTGCCGTGCAGCCTCGGCACAGGGGGTCATGTAATCTATCTGGGGGTGGCCTTTAATCTCACAGCTGTCTTCCTCTAAAAAGGAGAAGTGCTTAATAAAATTCATGTCTACTTAAATTAACCAAAGATCCATTTGGACATTCCCAACACAGAGAAATGATAAATATTCGAGGCGATGGATTCCCCACTTATCTAGATTTGGTCATACACACTGCAGGCTTCTGCAAAACACCACGCAGACCCATTAAATATGCCCAGCCATGATGTATCCGTAGGATGAAAAATAAAAAGAAACTGAAAAAAAAAAAAAACTATAGTGGCAGATTGAGTGTGTGAACAAGCCTCAAGAATCTACAAACCCAGGATTAGAAATAATAAAAGAATTTAGCAAGAAAAAAAAAAAAAAGTCTGTTTTACCCAAAGGCAGAACTTGGGGAATGATTCTTTTTTTTTTTTTAGAATGTGGAGGCTGGGCTGCTGATCCAGCACTCTGGAGGCCGAGCGGGAGGATTCTTGAGCCCAGGAGTTCGTAGACCAGCCTGAGCAAGAGCGAGACCCCCGTCTCTACTAAAAATAGTAAAATTGTCCCGCGGCGCGTGTCACGGCCTGTATCCCAGCACTCCGGAGGCCGAGGCGGAGATCGCTTGAGCTCAGAGTTCCAGACCAGCTGAGCAAGAGCGAGACCCCTGTGTCTACTAAAAAATAGAAAGAAATTAATTGGCTGACTAAAAATACACAGAAAAAAATTAGCCGGGCGTGGCGGCCCATGCCGTATATCCCAGCTACTCGGGGCCGAGGCAGGAGGATCGCTTGAGCCCGGAGTTGGAGTGCTCTGTGAGGCTAGCACGGCCACGGCACTCTAGCCCACAGAGTGATGACTCGCAAAAATAAAAAATAAAAATAGCAAAATTAGCTGGGCGTGGTGGTGCACACTCGTATATCCTCCCTATATGAAAGCAGCAGCTTTAATCAAATCCCTCGGCAGTTTTCGTTGAAGGCCAGGACCTTGTTAGGCTGCCATCGGTTTGGACGATCCGAGCACAAAAGGTTTGTCATAAACGGTCGCGGCCAACACTCTTGCAAACACAGCAAACAGAGCCGACCTGGCTTCTAGCTGGCCCTGAGCGCCCCACCTTCCGTAGACCAGGGGGTCCCCCACCTTTTGGGCACCAGGGACCGTTTTCATGGAAGACAAATTTTTTCCCCATGCGCCGGGGAAGGGGTGGGGAGGGATGGTTTTGGGATGACTCGAGCGCATTCCGTTTATCGTGCTCTTTATTTCGATTACCACCACGTCGTAGGTTATGATGACATGGTCACGCAACTCTCACCAGAGATTGGGGACCCCGGCCATGGGCGTCTCTGCTTTTACTGGCTCCTTTTGAGGCTGTGCTGGCCACTTCCCGTTGGTCTCCCTGGGACCCTGTGTGGGAGGCCGGCCTCTGGTCCTGGCCTCACTGGGCTGGGATCTTCTCTGGATTTGGACCTTCGCCCCTGCTGCCTCCCGCTCTGGACTCTAGAAGCCTCCACACCTGGGGGTGACCGTGGCTTCTTGCTTCCCTTTGGGCTCCCAAAACCCCATTCTCACCTGCCACCTGGTCCTGAACACTCTCTTCTTTAGACGCCCTTTATTTTCATTCTTTTATTCATTTATTTCTGAGGCAGAGTCTGGCTCTGCCACCCCCGGGCTAGAGTGCCGTGGCGTCAGCCTGGCTCACAGCAGCCTCAAACGATCCTCAAGGCTCAAGCGATCCTCCTGCCTCAGCCTCCCGAGTAGCTGGGACTGCAGGCGTGCGCCACCAACGCCCGGCTGATTTTTCTATTTTTGGTAGAGACGGGGGTCTCGCTCTTGCTCAGGCTGGCCTCGAACTCCTGAGCTCAAGCGCTCCTCCCACCTCGGCCTCCCAGAGTGCTGGGATGACAGGCGTGAGCCACCGCGCCCCTGGCCCTTAGATGCCCTTTAATCTGCCCCTTGGAGTTGGCCCGGCTACTTCCTGCAGGGTCCCTCGTGGATAGACTCCGAGGGGAACCCTGTGATGTCCCCCCACCCCCCCAGTATTGGGCTCTGGGGGCAAAAGGTCCCAGCCCTGCAAGGGACCGGAGCTGCACCTCTGTCATCAATCCACTGGGGTTCTGGGTGTGAGGATGAAACAGAAATGATTTACAGAACACGCTGGCCAAATTTTACGAATGTAGGAGGATAAGCCACTCTCCCTGTGTACGGCTGAAGGTTCTCACAATTGTCGCTCTGCCCGAGGTTCGACTTTTCCTTCTAGACATGCCCGGCGTGTTGGGAGATCGTCTGTCAATTGCAGGCACCGGCTGTGGCTTGGGCTTCAAAGCAGAATGAGATACAGTCATTCAACGTGGCGATAAAATGATGCATCAAAAACCTTAGTCGACTCAATAGAGGCACCTGGTACTGAGCACTCTCTTCTTTAGATGCCCTTTATTTTCATTTTTGCCTTCTCTTGCCTTCCTGCGGACTAGTGTAGACCTGATTTCAACTGGGGCGGGCGGTCGCCCCCTGGGGAGACTGCGTTTCCCAATTTCCAGTCATTTCTACACATGGCTGTTGGAAGTGGAAGTCGTGAGTGAGTTGGTGCTTCCAGATAATCCCCACCCTGCAGGGGCTGGTGCAGGGAAGAGGGATTCCCTTTTGTTCTTGCTTCTTCCTGACATCTGGAATGTGATGCCCGGTGCTGCAGCAGCCACGTCGACACCAAGAGGCAGAGTCTCTGTGTGTGAAAGACAATGGAGCAAGGAGGTGGCAGGAGCCTGCTGGCGCTGGGTTGCTTCGTCTGGGTTTCCTTTTACTTGAGAGAGAACACACCCTTCTCTCATTTCAGGCGATCTTATTCTCAGCCTCTGTTCGCACGCAGCAGCGCCCACGGCGATTTCTAACTAGCATGATGAGGGCTGGCGTAATGTCCAAGTCCTCAACCCTGGCACAGGGTTGTGAATCAACCCTTTGAGATCAGTGAGTTCTCGGCAGTAGAGACCGAGACGCTCTAACTTTCCTCTGTTACGTGAAGAAAGTGCAGGAATTGACCGAGCTGGGAGAGGTCCCCCCTACGATCCGGTCGGGTTCTCTCGTCCAGTCTCACGGCTCCGGGCCGAGGGGGGCGCCGTCCTGGTCCTCCTGGCAGGAGCAGAACGGGAAGAGTCCACAGCAGGGCTGCAGCCACGGCTTCCACATGATGCTGCTCACGGAAAACTGCTCGGGCACAGGGCTCAGGGTCTCCCCGTGCCGGGCCACGGCCTCGCCCACCCTTGCCAGCACGGCGTGGTACAGGGGCTCCGAGTCGGGGCGCAGGGGCCGGGCCTCCGAAGGGTCCGCGGAGAGGTCGAAGAGCAGAGGGGGGCTGTGCTGGGTCACGCCCTCCCCGGAGCAGGGGCAGATGCCTCGGCCATAGCAGGCCCCCGCCCCCGCGGGCTGGAACCGAGGCGTCGTGTAGTGCACCTTCCAGACCCTTCTGCCTGGGTGCAAACAGGAAGAGAGTTAGGGCCGCGGAAATCCCCTCGGGTGTGAACCCCGGGCCCCGGTGTCATCCCCGTGAGACGGCGAGAACATCCCACGTTAAATAAGGAGAAACGGAGACAAGGTTGATCACACAGCTGCGGCAGTCGTGTTGTCAAATCAGAGCCTCTGCGTGTGTGCGTGTGCGTGTGTGTGCCTGTCTACATGGGACATTCCAGGGGTACACGGGCAGAGGGACCTGTACCAAAGTGTTCAATGTGGCTGCCTTGGGAAATTAGGATCATAGACAGGGTCAGTTCATGTCTATACCTTTCCTCTATCTATAATCATCCACCCATCTATCCATCTAATTATCCATCTAATCATCCACCTATCCATCTAATCATCTATCTGTCTGTCTATCTAATCATCCATCCAATCATCCATCCATCCATCCATCAATCCATTCCCAAACCTCCATCCCACTCCTCCCATCCTTACCCATTCCCATCCATCCCACAGCCATCCATTCCATCCAGCATACATCGCATCCACACATCCAGCCATCCCACCATCCCATCCACCATCCATCCACCCAGCTCACATGCCACCATTTGCCATCACCACTCCATCCATGCCATATATACACCCATCCACCCATCACGCCACCCACCCATCTCACCCACGCCCATTCCATCCATCATCCATCCATGCCTGCATTCCATCCATCCATCCATCCATCCATCCTCCATCCATCCATCATCACACCCATCCACCTCCTCCATCCCTCCATCCATCCACCCCATCCCCCTCGCATTCCCATGACCATCCCACTCCCACCCATCGCCACTCCATCCATCCCAGACCACCATCCATCCCATCTACCACCCACCCCATCCAACATCTCCATCCATGCCATCCATCCATCCATCCCACCCATCCACCCATCCACCGCCATCTCTCCATCCATCCATTCCATCCCATTCCCCCCAATCCATCTACCACCCACCCATCCCACCACCTCCATCCATCCATCCATGCGCGCCATCCATCCACTCATCACCATCCATCCATACCATCCATCCATCCACCACCATCCATCCCATCCACCCTACCCATCCATCCACCGCATCCATGTCCATCCAGTCCACTCCATGCCACTCCATGTGTCCATCCATACCATTCACCCGACCATCCATCCCACCCATTCCATCCATCCATTCCATCCACCCGCCATGCCATGCCATCCACCCACCCATCCACTCCATCCACCCGACACCATCCATCCATGCCCACCGTACCGCATTCCATCCCATCCATCCACCCCACCCCTCATCCCCATCAGCCATCCATCCTTCGCCATCCCATCCATCCATCCATCCACCACCCATCCATGCATTCTACCACCCCACGCCATCCCATCCTCCATCCATCCATCCATCCCCCGTGCCCCCCCAATTACTGCTCTGTCTCTCTGAAGGACCCTGGTTAATCCACCCCCCTCCCGCCGCACAGGGAAGCACGCA